TGATAAAAAATCTTGTTTCCCTTTATTCCTGTAGCTAGTTTGAGCTCATTTTGTGCCTTTGCCTTTCTAATCTTGCGTGATTAGTTTTTATATTTCATTGCTCTGGATCCAACCAGCCATGTCAGGATGACTGTTGATCAGCCCTAGAGAAACGAGCCAGGAGCTCCTTCTGGCTGGCATTTCCCGTTTGTTGGGAGGATTGAATTCCTTCCAGGAGTGCACTTCCTACCTTCAAGCAGAGTCACCCAGCCCATGTTGGGTCCTTGACAGGGGGGACGTTAGCTGTTCAGGATGGGCTTGGATAAACATTTCTCCTCCCAGGCGAATCTCCGGCTTAGCCATCAGAGGCAGGGCTGAGGAATAGACAGGACTGGTTATCTGGGTGCTAACTGAAGGTAAACCACTAATGACACAGCCCTTGATGTCTTCAAAGCACTGAATTGTCCATATTATTGGTGCAGAAGAATCAAGCATGACAAGGAGAGGAAGCAAACAACAGATCTGACTCCAAACTAAGCCACATTTCTTCATACTGCATGGTCACGCCACGGCTGAGTATCTCTCTAGGTGGACCTGACTCAAAATCCCAGCGCTCCAATGCCATGGGGATGGACTCATGCTAAGACCCCCAAGTGGAACAGACTCCAAACCATCCCTTCCCTCCCTGCAAACTTGCTCAGAGGGGAACCTGACATCCTGAGGCCCATCTCTGCTCACCCCGCCATGGTTCTACATGTGGAGTGGTCCGAAGTGTGACTAATTCGGCTCGGGGACAGCACCACTCAATTACGTCTTTGATGATCTTGATGTGAAATTTGAGTGCCGCCCTTCTGGTTCCCATGGTGCTGTTTCCCCAGTACAAAGGGCTTTGCTGGCTTAAGAGAGACGCGATTCCCTTTTTGATACACAAACGCAGCTCCCGTCACTGTTAGCAGGAGTCGGGTATGTGCGTGACAAGAGGGAGTAGCACCAGTGTCTAGACCAGACTGCAGGAATACACCACGTGTCCCACAGCCAACCATTTTGGGGAGCCGTTTGCCCACCCTGGGTGTGAGTTGTTCACCTTTGGCTTCAGTAGGAGTTTGTCCATTCCAGAGGTTCTCAACCATTTCTCATACACTGACCACCATGTAGCCGGTACCCCTTGCCCCCACATTCAGCAATGTGGGGATGGCAGGGAGGTCACAACCCCGAGGCAGAGACACCCCCCCTCTCACATTCTATTTTATTCAGGTTCTTCTAATGCACCCATCACCATGGACTCAGGAGTCCATGGTTTATGAGCATCCTGCAATGGCAGAACATCTGCTGGGGTCCGACATCCCAAAGTACC